ATATATGTATGTATGTATGTATGTATGTATGTATGTATGTATGTATGTATGTATGTATGTATGTATGTATGTATGTATGTATGTATGTATGTATGTATGTATGTATGTATGTATGTATGTATGTATGTATGTATGTATGTATGTATGTATGTATGTATGTATGTATGTATGTATGTATGTATGTATGTATGTATGTATGTATGTATGTATGTATGTATGTATGTATGTATGTATGTATGTATGTATGTATGTATGTATGTATGTATGTATGTATGTATGTATGTATGTATGTATGTATGTATGTATGTATGTATGTATGTATGTATGTATGTATGTATGTATGTATGTATGTATGTATGTATGTATGTATGTATGTATGTATGTATGTATGTATGTATGTATGTATGTATGTATGTATGTATGTATGTATGTATGTATGTATGTATGTATGTATGTATGTATGTATGTATGTATGTATGTATGTATGTATGTATGTATGTATGTATGTATGTATGTATGTATGTATATATATATGTATGTATGTATGTATGTATGTATGTATGTACGTATATATGTACATATGTAAATTATTATTATTGATAGAAAACTAATTATTGATTTTATTTTTACTTTATCGAAATATTATGGTTTGATTATGTATTTTTAGATATTCAGAGATCAGAAAGATGATCATTACGAACCATTTTGTATATACATAATAAATAGTTAATAACAAGTGGACGTATATATACACGCTCCCAAAATTTTATATCGGTATATTATTTTTTTGCATTTAATCGATTTAGTAAAAGAGGGAATAATTGAAACAATAATTATATTAAACATTAAAATTCAACTAATTTAAACTTCCGAAGCGGAGAGAAGTAGTAAAGGGAGGGGGGAAGAGGAGAATCCTATTACTTAATATCTTAAGATAAAGATTTCGTATTTGAGAAAAATATTAATTATTGAAGTCGAGAATTGCTGAACAATAAACGACATTGATTAAATTCTTTGCGGAAATTTTAGCAATTCGTTAAGACTACTGGTATTGATATATATCTCACACAAAAGGCACACTCAGTATCTTCGTATGTGTAACTTTATATACATTTTCTCAACGTGTAATCACAAAATAAGATATAGATACATTCATGTTTCATATAAAATAACGGATTATATTTTTCCTTTTTTTCTAGGAAAGTCCCCAGAATTTTACATTGTTAAAACTATATATTTTTTGTACGCTAAAATTTTTCATACAATATTTTCAAATGCATTTACTTTTTCGATTTGTAGGATTGCAGACAGAAGTTTCAGGGGGGCTCATTCTTCGACCATGAAGGATTGCCGTATTGCGAGACACACTACCACGCCAAGAGGGGATCATTGTGTGCGGGATGTCACAAGCCCATCACTGGTGAGTATAAAATTTTCTTCAAGTTTAAGATCTTCAAATGACACATAATATCTTGATGTTTTTTTTCTTTGTATTTATAGGTCGTTGCATAACGGCAATGTTCCGCAAATTCCATCCCGAGCATTTCGTATGCGCGTTTTGCTTGAAACAGTTGAACAAGGGCACGTTCAAGGAGCAAAACGACAAGCCTTACTGCCACGGTTGCTTCGAGAAACTTTTCGGATAAATGATTTGTCTCTCTTTCTCTTCGGAATATATATTTTGTAACATAATAACGAAACGAGAGGCAATTTCGCTCTCGATGCCGTTTTACTACTCTCTCGACGAAATATGTATACGGTATATACTTACTTGCTTTGATCGTCTATATAAAAGCGTTAGAGACGAGACTCACATTGCCTGAAAAATAGCTTTCTAGAATTTCCATTTTTTATAAATATTGACCTTTGGGCGAATGTAATCGAAGGAATATTGTGAATAGAATTTCAATTATTGAAAATTATCGCAAAAATACATCAGAAGATATATATATAATCTGTCTCGTCACGATTGCCATTTTTAATAAAACTGACGAGTTTAGATTTTAATTTTCTTTTTAGGGAAAAAGAAATTAAAATTGTTATATATCTAAAAGGAGGATGTAAGTGGATAAAACTCTATTATTTGTTTAATAAAGTATAAATTTTAACAGTAATTTATTTCGTAAGGATAAATTGTCAAATTACTTGATGTTAAAACTTGCGAGGAAATTTCTTTCTTTTTCCATGATATGTTCATTACGGAAAATTTTTAATTGCCCAAGAATTAATAGATTTGACGAAACTTCTCTATAATTCTTACGGCATCTTATGAATCTTTATATAATTTTACATAACAAATTATTTCTTCAACTGCACAAGTTTGAGTCTATCATGTTATTTAAAGATTAATGAAAAGGGTGCTATACGATTTATATCGTTACTAATAATTTGTATCGAGATAATATCTAGTAGATGTATGTACACGTTGTACTTGTTCGAGTAGGTATTTGTACGACAAGCGAACTTTCGCCACCAAATACTTCCCTGACGAAAGATCTTCCCGTGCACACGCTCGTTAGGTTTCGTATATTTATAAATATTTAAATAGCAGTATAGGATCAAAGTTTAACGAATATTACCGCGCGAAGTATTACACAAGTTTACTTACGCCCGCTATATCGAATCACATTGCCATGTAAAGAAAGAAATAATCGTGAGAATTATACGAAGGAAGCATGTGTACGAAGTGAACGAAATCGCGTACGCTTCAGAGGACAAGGATCGGAAATAAATACATATTATGAGATAGTTGATTCTTCAAAGTTTATTTGGTATCCTGCGACACAGCGAAAGATCGAGAATTAAACATATATATTTAATATACTTATATATACACATTGATAATAAATTCCTCAAATAAACATCTGTCTATGTATAAAAAAATTTTCTGCTGGAATACGTAAAGTGCTATTTAGGTATCCACACTGCAACATCGAATAAATTAAAAAACTATCTATTCATAGATATATACAAAAAAATATATGTATACATACATATATATATATATAATACGGACTCTTACGATTAACACGTTATATCGTAAGAATTAAAATTTTGCGTTATAACAAACCTGATACATTATAGTAATCAATATTTAGACATCAATAGTGTGTTTTGTGCCATCATTTGCGCTGCGTAAGAGGTTATTTCCCAAAATTATGAAAAGGAGAGAGCTATTACTTTAGCATGAGACGCGCTAGAAAATCTTCTTAAATAACTTTTTAAAAATAGTTATTAGTGATTTGCTATTAGTCTCCCTTGCTAAAGTTATGATTGTAATAATGCAAAAAATTTGATTAATTATAATTAACGCTGACAAACGCAATATGCATCATTTCCTTATCTCGCATACTTTTCAAAGAATTTACGTTTACAAAATATTTACAAAATTGATAATAGCTTCTTCCTCACAACATTATCCATTTTATTTAAAGCGCTTATTACAAAACTAAACTGCTCGACATTAAGAGAAAAAAATATATACAAGAGTCAAATCAAAACTCGTAAATTTTTATTCAAATGGATTTGTTCAGCGTATTATGATGCTTTCCGAGAATGAAATTTCTCTCCTTTCTCTTGTATAGTCTAATAAGTGCAAGTATATTAACCTCGCGATGTCCTACTTCTGAAGTTCCCCGTATCACAGACGCAACGATCCGGCATCGGTCTAGCGCTCGACTCGATGCGGCGCGCGGCAGCCCGCCTCCGCGAGAACTGTCAGGCCAGCATGGGAAACAACTCGGTGAAACTCTCGTGCCAGGGATCGGCCAAGGCATTGTTGGATAGTCGTGGATCCGGGGAATCGTGTGATTCGTAACCGCCATCTGACAGATTGGCGTAGTCTAGCTTTGTCGAGGAGACGCCACAACTATCCGCGTCCGAGTGAACGTCGCTCATCGCGGGTGACATAGTATCGGTGTAGGCCGGCGAGAATTGCACTGGGTAGCCGAGGTGAGTGGTCAAGGGAGGAACGGTGAGATGCGTGACGACGCCGGTGTCGCAGCCACCGATATTCTCGGTGCTGATCACTTCCTGCACGCATTCCTGAATGCCTACGCAACCGTTACTTTCCTCGCCCGGATAGATGATCGTGATGGAGTTGGTGGCTTCGTCATAAGTGCCATAGACAGTGTCGAGGTCCGGTGTTGGTTCGGATTCCTGTTTGATCTCGATCTCGGTCTTGATCGGTGCTGTGCTTTCTGTGTCGCGATCAACGGTATGCCAATCGGACGTATCCGGTAGGTACGAGATGTTACTTATGCTTTCACGGACTCGATCGGCTTCCACATCTTCTGATGCCTGCCCCACCATTGTTTCTGAACGGTCAGATTTTTTAAGAGGATCTTCTGTGACGCACATCTGCGGAACGGAGCGTAATCGATAGATTATTAATAATGGGGCGACGACTGAATCATGAGGAAGAACGCGATTGCAGAGTAAATGAATGAAACGTTCGGATTTTCTCTAAGGATCAAAATTGTAATTGCATTAGAATTTCATTCTATCTCGGAGTATTTCATCCATCTCTGCATCATATCTAAATGATCGTATATTAAAAAAAAAAAAAACGAAAACAAAAAAAAATAGAATTAGTTTATGTGTCAATATATGACTTTCAAAAAGCGTACATCTAAAATTAATAAAAAATATCTATTTAATTAAAAAATTAAAAATTGTTAGTGTCTATATTTTCAAGAGAAAGTGATTACTTTATGACTAGAAGTAAATAAACGACAACCGTGATTTATTGATAATGAGTTTTAAATAAAGATAATGATAGAAAAATAATAAGAAAATATGTAGACGTGTGTCAAGTGCGAGTATATACAACGGTGCAATTATATGTGATTCCTGAAACTCACTTGCTCATCTGTTCTAGGAGGATTTGCTTCCATTCCGGTGGTAACTTCTCGCATAAGGCTTGCGGCCAGTTCTTCGAGTCGCTCGACATATCCTTCGCTCTGGAAGTCGCTAAACAGCTCCTCGAGAGAAGGTAAAGGGTCAGGATCTTCAACAGGACGGTTGCTCCTGGTGTTAGTGTCAGGCACGATGCCGGCTGTGCTGACCCACCCTGCGGCAGAGGGTAGTCATAGGATACTGCAGATCCTGGCAAAGGTGCAGCGCAGCCGACACGAGTCTGGCACGCGGAGCAGTACTGTTGTTGCTGATCTCCGGTTTCGTTTCTCATGTCCCTTTCTCTCCTGAGCCTCTTCGTCTCGCCCAATAGCGATTCATTTTGCGATCTCAGCATTGTGCATTCTTGCGCGAGCTGTTCGTTCCTTTCGCTCAGCGTTTTTACCGTGTCTTCAAGTTCATCCAACCTGGCTTTCTTGCGGTCCCGCGAAGTCTGAGCCGCCACTCGGTTCTTCAGTTTCCTACCGAACGAAATGTCGTTAAAATAATTATCTATTTAAAAGTAAAAAATAATTTTTATTTTATTTTCATTTTATTATATTTATATTTTTTATTTTACAATGAATCGGTAAATTATTTGTAGAAGTTTACGGGAACAAAAAATGAAAAAATTATTAATGTGTGTATGCGTATTCCTTATTTATTTTTTTGTAAAATTTTTGAATGATGAAACTGTAAACATGAAATTAAAGAATACGTGAAAGAATTGAACTCATGTACTATTTATCATTACTAATAAGGAAAAATAGAGTTGTACTGTCATTAGTCATTGTTATGTAATCGCGGGATAAAATTAACGATTGAAATTAACTGCAATAACTCATTATTCTCAAGCCGGTGATTAATCATACTCGTATATTTTCCAGTAATCGTATTTACGTCAAGGTAGCGATTACGTATAACCACAAGCGAAGAATATTCTGCAAAAATTTCCTACAATTCGCAGAAGGTATACTTTAAATATTTTAAACTCTTATCATTCTTTTTCTATATCTTATTAATTTTGAGGACTGGTTCGTACGGTAAACAAGATACGGCTTATCCACAAACTGTGTAAAGAAATATTATACTTGCATGTGCATTTTGAATGTTAAAAATGAGATTGTGTGGTTTTTATCACAATCTGTGATATGGAAAGAACGCGCAGATAAGTTATAATTTTTTAGCGATAAGCAAGGATGATACAATTCGTGAATGCACTGGTTAAAACAGAATTTTTATACTGCATAAAAAGAGATTTAATAAAATTCATAAACTGATTGAAAATTAATATAATGTAAATTCTTTATATAATTCTATGTTATCATATCTATGACGGATGTTCTATCTTTATCGTAAAACTTCCTATGGATGCAGCGTCATTTAATATGTACAGATGTAAATGAAAAAAATTAAAATATGTAGAATCTAAATATATAGTTTGTTGAGAAAAGAGCAATTCGAGAAATCAAAGATTACAAATTTAATTCACGGATATTTTTTCGTTTATATGTATATATAATATAATACATATTCCAGACAGCATACAATATTTATGATAAATATTCATAAATATTTTTTACTATTTATTTTTTGAAATATTATATAAATATTTTGTACATATTTTGTATACAGGGTGTCTCACAACCTTAGTACAATATTTTAATAGTGTATTCTAAAGATAAAATAGAGTCAAAAATTCTAATACAAAAATTTTGAGGCTGCAATAGTTTTTGAGTTATAAGCGATCAATGTTTGCCAGTGATATCGCGCAGAGCTCGCGCGCTCAGATCCGTAACTACACATACATGCGAGACCGATCTGTCATCTGTTATTGATTTTACAAATCAGGTAATATTGATTTTTACTGCACAGCTGATTTTATTATTTCTCATGTGTATGAATAGCACGTACGGCGGTCAGCTGATACTAACGAACTATAAATGTTGTACGTAAAATATTGAATTTTTTCTTAAATAAGAATTTAAAAGATTGATTAATTATTATATTTAAATAGAAATATAAACTTATTATTTTCACGCATTTAAGAAACGAAGTTTATTTTTGTTTTGATCGTGCGGAGAAGTTTTGTGGAAATTAATTTATTTATTTTATCTGTCAGCACACACAATAACAGATGACAGAGTAAATGTTCAGATTAACTTACACCTCACGAATCGTTTTCATTTTCACATATATTATAGAGGGCACATTCCTAAGTAATAAGCACTTTGAATTTTGTGGCGCTCTCTTCTGGTTCCAGAGATATGCAATTTTAAAGTTTC